ACAAGTTGGGAAAATTATTATTGTAAATACGCGTAATGATAAAAGGACTTTTTGGTTTATTTTCAAATGTTTTCAAGGAATAGGAGTGTTTGTGGTCAAAGAAAATATTACGTTCTTACCTTACCATCATCCATTGTTTCTTTGTTTTCTTTTATTTCTCATTAAAAAATAAAATAAGGACAAACAAAATTATAAATTAAGCCAAAATATGAGTAATAAATTTGATTTTATGGTATAAAATTACATATATAGGCTTTTATTATACACTAATCCAATCAAATGCTATCATATATGAATTCAATTTGATTAATGTATTAATTATTTTATATAATTAATACATTAATTTTAAAACTGAATCATTGCATCAATGAAATGAATACGCAATTCCTTAAACTATTTATCATATCCATGTTTTTATTAGCACTATGATTAGTTTAATGGGTCATAATTAATTATTGTTTTCAACCTAAACCTATTTAAATGTCTAGAGTATAACTAGTATTGTTGTCCTTTTCCATTAATTTATTGATGTTCTCTTCAGGTAAAAATTATGATAAGTCAATTGAGAGTTGGTTGATGGCAGGTGAAGAGCTGGTGAATGTCAAAATCAAATGTCGTGTGTTGTTAACTAAAAGCAATTTCCAATTCCTAACCAACAATTAGAATATGATTTGCCAAACTAATATAAACACAACTGAATTGGAGGCTTCACTTATGGGCACAATCTTTATACACAAATCAATTTACCAAATAAATTACAGAAATCCTTCCGTAGCTTGTAAAATATGTTTCCACTCTTGGGTTTTAGGATTTAAAATTAAAATTAATATTTTAGAAAGAAAAAAAATTATATTTTCAGGAGCTCACATTAGATCCAATTAATTAGAGATTGAGGTGGATAGTTACGACCATTGTTTTAAAACCCGGCCCATCCTAGCTAGTTCAACCAGAACCGGGGCTTTCATCAAGCTTGATTACCCATTTCATTCACCGAAAACCCTATAAATTAAGATGATAATCGACGAACAATTGAAGGCTAAGATGTTGGGATTTTTGAAGAGAAAGTGTCAATGAATGCAATGTTGGCAATGGAGTTGGTTTTTAGTGAGTAAATCTCCAAAATTCGAAAAAACCGACGATAGCAATAGCTAGCTTTTGCCCCCGATTGACGAAGCGAACAAGGGTGGGGAGAGATGGTTTTTGGTCAGAAGGCTAAGGAGAGTATTTTCGTGGTGATGGGGATGGTTTTTTACACCGACAGTGTTGAGATCTAACCTAGAATGTCGACACTCGCATCGGTGAGATCTGATCAAAGTCAAACCGATTTCGGCTAGATCTTCGGTAGATTTTCTGGGGAATGGGCTCAAAGGATGATTGAGATTACATTTGATGTGTTGCCGCGGCCAACTAGTTGACCGTCGATTTTTATTTGGGATGTGTTTGCTAAATTTCAAACCTGTAAGGATTTACTGGTAAGTTTTAGGGGTGTACTTACTGAATTTTAAACTTTTTATCATTCGATTTAAAAGCCGGTCAAACCGGTTAATCCGGTCAACCCAGGACCCGACAACTTTGACAGGTTTCACCTAGGGTTGGTCATTAAAATATTGGTTACGACACCACCTATTTTTAAGTTACTATTCTCTTAATTTTACATAATCATTTATATATCACTGAATGATATCGTTGAAACATGATGTTCTAATCAACTGTGAGACATGATCAAACTTTTCATAATTGTTGATAAACAACTATTTAACTAAGATTTTTAATTATATCATCAAGTCTGTATTAGTAAAGATAATTATTCTCTGTATGATGGAGCGATTTACTTATCATATTTTAACAATTTTTATAATTATAAGAGAAAAATGCGTGACAATATTATTTGTTATTTTATATCACTTAATGAAATGTTTGAAATATTATAACATATCTTCGTAATAAGAAAGAAATTGTTTTAAAGAGAGAGAGGCTTCGAAGTTAGTTAATGAAATATTGTTAGATTTCTTGTGACAAAAACACCCCTGAAGGAAAACCTCGTGATATTGTTAATTGTAGGATCAAAAACAGTGTTAATAAAATACTTGTTAGATTAATGAAATATTTTTCCCTGTCATGCAATAAACTCTGTGAAATTGTTAATTGTAGAACTAATAATATAAAATGAAAAACTTAAAGAAAGAAATAAACATAAACCTAGAAGAAATCTTTTTTCGCTTCCCCACGGAAATGGCTTTGTTGGAGGAGGGGGTGTATTTTAATGGTAATTATCTTTTTTTTTTTTTTTTAAATAATAATAATATTACACTTATAATTTAATCTAAAAAATTCTCTCTCACAACTTCCAATATGGTAGTTTGCAACTGATCAACTCCTAAATGAATCCTGCTTGTTTGTTATGAGTCTCGTTTATCTAATTACGAGCTACAACATCTTAATTATAAGAGAAAGTTTATAAAATTGAGTTATCTTTATTGTTATTGTATTAATCTATTCAATTGAGATTCTGTGATAACTGTTAAATCTAACTAATGTCTCTCAATTAGGGTGTGTTTGTTTTAGTATTTTGGATATGATTTTTGGAAAAGTAGGAGTTGAGTGGTTGTTACGAGGTAAGATTTAAAAATTAATAAAAACACCTCTGTAATAAAACATTAAAAATTAATAAAAATACCCCCATCTATCCTATCGACACATGACCGGTTGGATTTGGCCGGTCGTGCATCGATATAGCATTTTCTAGCCAAATCCACTATGGATTTAGCTAGAAAATGCCAGATCTGGCCGCGTTTGGCGTCAATAAAGGCCAAAGATATGACTATCGTTGATCGGCATATTATCAGCCAGATCCAGCCAATAGTGTGTCATTATACCAGATTTCGACTATCTTCCGATTGTGGTGGTCAGAATCTGGTAAATATGGGTGGGAGGTGTTTTTGTTAATTTTTAAATTTTTTAGGAAGTATTTAGTTAAATTAATAAATTTAGAAAGTTTAAAATAATTGAATAAAATAGAATATGATTTTCAGAATAAGGAAACGATGTATTTTTTAAGTAGGATGGGGATAAGACAGGAAAATATTTTCATTGATTAAACGACGCGTTTGGATCTTAATTACAAAAATGTTGCCCGGACCCGGAGTAACCTGAAGAAAAGTTCCAACTTCATCTTCGCAGATCTGCACCTCGCGGAACAGGAAGAAGATCATACCAATTTAATTTCAGTTTGAATACCTTGCTTGACCTAATTCTCTTCTTCAATATCAGCGAAATCACAGCCCTAGATCCTCAGGGCGTACGAAAATGGTTCTAGTTACGGCTGCGCGGGATTACATCAACCGGATGTTGCAGGACATCTCCGGCATGAAAGTTCTCATTCTCGATTCTCAAACGGTAACTCTTTTACCTCATAATTTCTTATTTAAGCTCTCAGCAATCAATTAACTATTCTACGATGCTTTTTAGTCGTTCATTAGAATGAAATTGTACAATTCGATGCGATCCGGTTTCTATCAGTTAAGACTTCGTTTTATGACAGCACTAGTAGCGGAAATGTTTTATGGTTGCNTTAAAATTATAAGAGAAAGTTTATAAAATTGAGTTATCTTTATTGATATTGTATTAATCTATTCAATTGAGATTATGTGATCATTGTTAAATCTAACTAACTTCTGTCAATTAGGGTGTGTTTGTTTTAGTATTTTGGATATGGTTTTTGGAAAAGTATGAGTTGGGTGGATTACAAAGTAAGATTTAAAAATTAACAAAAACACCCCATAAGTTTGTTAATTTACTAAACATCCATGTAATAAAACATTAAAAATTAACAAAAACACCCCCACCCACCCTATCGACACATGACCGACTGGATCTGGCCGGTCGTGCGCCAATATAGCCTTTTCCAGTCAAATCCACCATGAATCTAACCGAAAAAGGCTAGATCTGGCTGCATTTGGCGTCAATGACTGCTAGAGATATGATTGTCGTTGATCGACGTACTATCGGCCAGATCAAGCTAGTAGTGTGTCATTATACCAGATTCTGACTACCTTTCGATTGTGGTGGCCGGAATCTGATAAACATGAGTGGGTGGGGTATTTTTATTAATTTTTAAAATTTATTAGAAGTGTTTAGTTAAATTAATAAACTTAGAGGGTTTAAAAATAATTAAATAAAATAGAATATAATTTTCATAATAAGGAAACAAATGTATTTTGGATAGGATATAGAAAGGATAGGAAAATGTTTGCAATGATAACCGACGTGTTTGGATCTTAATTACAAAAGGTGCGTTTGGTTTAGTATTTTGGATAGGATTTTAGGGATAGTATTGGGTTATTGGATATGGGAATATTACGAGGTAAATTTTAAAAATTTGTAAAAAAGCCCTTAGGTTTACTAATTTAACTAAAGACCCTAACATATAAAATGACAAAAACACCCCCACCACCTGCAATGTCAGATTCCGGCCACCACCGCCGGAATCTGGCCGGAAAATTTCGTTACGGCACAGACTAGTCGGATCTGTGCCGTAACACGTCATTATGGCCTTTTCCGGCCAGATCCATGGTGGATCTGGCAGGAAAAAGGCCAGATCTACGGTCTGTTATGGCCGTCGACGGTCGGAAAAGGCCAAACGAGGGCCATCTTTGGCCGTTAGCGACGGCCAAAGATGTGGCCGTCGTTTTCGGTCAACGACGGCCATTTCTTTGGCCGTCGCTAACGGCCAGAACTTCTGGCCATTTCTGGTCGAAAGTTAGGCCGTTGTACAGATTTCGGCTATCACCGACGGTGGTTGCCGGAATCTGACAAGTTGGGTTGATGGGGTGTTTTTGTTAATTTTTAAACTTTTTTTTATTGGGTATTTAGTGAAATTAATAACCTTATGGGGTTAAAATGTAATTAAAAAATAAGGTAATATTTTTAGAATATTGTACCAAACATTATTTGGAGAATAGGATCCAGAATAGGGATAAAAATATTAAACCAAACATGCAGAAAAATGTTGCCTCGACCCGGAGTAACCTGAAAAACGGTGCGTATTGCTTTGTATCTAACGTTTCAGTTCTGGTTCCAACTTCATCTTCGCAGATCTGCAACTCGCGGAACAGGAAGAAGATCATACCAATTTAATTTCAGTTTGAATACCTTGCTAGACCTAATTCTCTTCTTCAATATCAGCGAAATCACAGCCCTAGATCCTCAGGGCGTACGAAAATGGTTCTAGTTACGGCTGCGCGGGATTACATCAACCGGATGTTGCAGGACATCTCCGGCATGAAAGTTCTCATTCTCGATTCTCAAACGGTAACGCTTTGACCTCATAATTTCTTATTTAAGCTCTCAGCAATCAATTAACTATTCTACGATGCTTATTAGTCGTTCATTAGAATGAAATTGTACAATTCGATGCGATCCGGTTTCTATTAGTTAAGACTTCGTTTTATGACAGCACTAGTAGCGGAAATGTTTTATGGTTGCATCATGTTACTCGAATATTAAAATGTTATCGAAATGGAATTTTTGGTGACAATTTAGAAGTTTTAACTGTCAACTTTTGACATCATATTTTGTTTATGAACGAGATTAAATGTTACTAGTATGAAGTTCTGCAGTATATGTCTTGGGTTGTAAATTAGAATATTGTTAGTGTTCGTGATATTTTAAAGCTATATCTTATATTTGGTAATGCTAAATTGACATAATTGAATGATTTGGTTTTTTTCATTTTTATTATTATTATTATTATTATTATTATTATTATTTTTGTTGCTAGTTTATGTGGCTTGGTATGTGGATTAGTTTAATAAGGCATTTGAGGTAAAAGGAAAATGTGGTGTGATTGTGGAGGCATTTGTGTTGTTTACTGAGTTACAGGTTAGTGTTGTAAGTGTGGTGTATTCTCAGACAGAGCTACTTCAGAAAGAAGTATTTTTGGTGGAGTTGGTAGATTCCATTTCCAAGTCGAAAGAATCCATGTCACATCTAAAAGCTATTTATTTCCTTCGGCCCACATCGGAGAATATAAAGCATTTGCGACGGCAGCTGGCTAATCCTAGATTTGGAGAGTATCACTTATGTAAGTTTTTATTGTCCGTTTTATTGTTAGAAATCCAAAGTCTTGCTAGTATGTTTCCAGCCCATCCAAAGCTCCTTTCTGATCTCATACTGAATTTTACAGTTTTCTCAAACATGTTGAAGGATACCCAGATTCATATTTTAGCTGATTCAGATGAGCAGGAAGTTGTACAGCAAGTTCAGGTAACTCTTCATCTATCAATACTGTTGTGCTTGACTGAAATTTTCTTCATTTGCCTTTCTCTTTTTGGTATTTAATAGTTATATACGAAAGTGTTTGATTATCAATAATGAATTATTTTGCACATTTGTACTGGGACATTGCCAACTTTATTTGTATGAACTTTGACAGAAGAAAGCTGTGGTATTTGTTTAGCAAGGACCAATTTTTGGTGGGGGAGCTAAACTTTTGAACAGCCAATTAAAAGCACGAGTTAGTATCCTGAGAGGTCATTGGATGAAAAAGTTTTGAAAGTTGGGCTATATTTGGATTATTTGACCTAGGCCAGTTATGGTAGAATTGCACTGCATAATGGCCTCTTTTATAGTAAACTCCTGGGAAAAGAAAATTAGAACAACTTTGAGAAAAATATTTAAGGTGTAAGGGATGTTCACATGGGAGAGCTTTTGATGAAATGATTTTCTGTCTATGTCAACTTAGTATTCTGATTTATTAGAATTTGGGAGAGGAAAAGAGTTTGTAATCCGTTAGTGTTACTTGTATAAGAGGAACATTATTTCTATAATAGTTGGTTTTGTGCAACAGTTAGCAGAAAAAAATTTGTAATAGCTTCTTGTTCTAGGCTGAAATCTTTTTTATACTTATATTGTATTATTCTCCTTCTGATACACGATGAAATGCATTTTCATTAACGTCGTATTTCTCTGGTAGATTTTGTTATTATATTGTAGTGTCACCTCAGTTTATTTACCTACAATGTAAATCTGACCTAAATGAGAATTGATTTTGCAGGAATTTTATGCAGATTTTGTTGCAAGTGAACCTTATCATTTTACTTTGAATATACCCTCAAATCATCTTTATATGCTTCCAGCAGTTGTAGATCCTTCAAGTTTGCAGCACTTCTCTGACCGAGTTGTTGATGGTATAGCCGCTGTTTTCTTGGCATTAAAACGAAGACCTGTTATTCGATACCAAAGGACCTCAGATATTGCAAAGAGGATAGCCCAGGAAACAGCTGTAAGTAGAATTGCATGTGCTGGACTAGTGCTCTCAGTTTATTCCATGATATTTAGAGTCAGACAGAAAACTAAAGTTTTCTTTTCTTGGGATATGACAGAAGCTGATGTACCAGCAGGAAAGTGGTCTTTTTGATTTCAGACGTACAGAAGTTTCTCCACTATTGCTAATAATTGATAGAAGGGATGACCCTGTGACTCCATTGCTGAATCAGTGGACCTATCAGGTATGTGTCAACCCAATAAATATAATCTTACCAGCTGGTTTTTTCTCAAGTATAAGCTAGCCTCTTGATTTTTTATGGTGTTACAAGGAGAAGGTCAGCTTATTGTTTATGTTATTTTTTGTAGGCAATGGTTCATGAACTGATAGGCATTCAGGATAATAAAGTTGACTTGAGAAACATTGGCAAAGTTCCAAAAGATCAGCAGGTTGATTGACTCTTTCCCTTTGCTGCACATGTTTTTTGAATACCATGCAGTGGTGAAGTGTTATTCTTTTGCTATTCATATGCTTACAGGAGGTTGTGCTGTCATCAGAACAAGATGCTTTCTTCAAATCTAACATGTATGAGAATTTTGGAGACATCGGAATGAATATCAAGCGGATGGTTGATGATTTTCAGCAAGTTGCAAAAAGCAACCAAAACATCCAGACTATAGGTTTGCAAACAGCAGAATTATGTATTTTAGATTCATTTTTTGAATGTTTAGTTAGCCAGTATTATTATTTATGGCTAAATATGCACTCATCACTCAAACACTATGAGATATTCTGCAGAAGATATGGCCAAATTTGTTGAAAATTATCCGGAGTACAAAAAGATGCATGGAAATGTTTCAAAACATGTGACATTAGTCACAGAAATGAGCAAGATAGTTGAAGAGCGAAAACTCATGTTGGTTTCGGAAACAGAACAGGAGTTGGCATGTAATGGTGGGCAAGGGGCTGCTTTTGAGGTACTGTTTTTTATTTTTTTCTCTTGGATCCTATTAGTTATGAGCCAATGAGTCTAGATAAATTGATTCTTCACTGAACTATTTATTAATTATGTGGAAGTACAAATACTAAATTATTCATTTGTAATGGCATTACAAGCTTGCATCAATATTGATGACTTATTATACTTCCAACCTTTTTCAAATACTTATTACCTTTTTCAACTTCATGTACCATTAGCTTTGCTACAAGTGCATGCATTCCAGCTATTTCTTATTGATCTTACAAAAGGGACAAAGAAGATAGACTATTCAAGAAAATATTATGAAAGGGAATCCAGAAATATTAAGTCATAGTTGATCAAACATAAATTGCTCTGAAAACTAAAGTCTGGCAGAATGTGAAAGATATAAATCATGTTCTATACATAAACGGGGTTCATCCCTTATTAAATATGAGCTGAATTTGTGTAACAAAGGGATCACAATTATATTACAAAATACAGAGAGAATCCTTGCTGTATGGAAACAAAGTTCATGCAAGAAATATGTTTCATTCGTGATTACAAGTATCCCATGCTTGATTTTATTAAATAAATATTCTCTTGCAGCTTATAGGGTGATTTGGCCTTCACATCATTGTATCAACTGATTCTTTGTGTCAGATACTCTTCAGTTTACTAGTCTTGAAAATAGTCACAATTTCAACTTATCTGAACTATTTCCATCTGTAGACAGTGACATCATTTACTTTGAGATAGTAACTGAGAATTTTATTTTCTTCATGAGAAACAAATATGAGTTTATCAATGATAAAAATAAAGCTAATTAACTGAGCAATAGTGCAATGGTAATTTGAAACTGACAGTTACCAAGTCTTTCTAAACAATGAGAGTACAATTTTTTCATAATTACAGTGGTGTTGTGCCATGACTTTCTTCCTTGCATAATTCTTTGCAGGCAGTGACAAATCTTCTAAACAATGAGAGCATATCTGACATTGACCGTCTGCGCCTAGTGATGTTGTATGCTTTACGCTATGAGAAGGAGAGCCCAGTTCAGTTGATGCAGCTTTTCAACAAACTGGCTTCTCAATCTGCCAAGTACAAGCCTGGGGTAACATTACCAAACTATCACTGGCTGCCTGCATCTACTTGTTCATATTCTTTTTCTCTTTATATTAATTTTTGCATATATACATACATGTCTGACAATTTATATATATTAGTGCTTATTGGGCTGGCATCCATCATTTGTATCGTGCTCAGCAATGATGCTTGTTATATAGCTTCTGATTGCTCTAAGCCTGTCATATTTGCACTTAGCATATATTCCATGAGAAAGTTCTTGGTTTGAATAAAAAAGTTTTCTTTATCTTGGGCTTCTCTAGTATGGCTGCCGACATTTTTCTTCTACATTCTTCTTGGAGATTTAGCTTTTTGTGAGAGTTTAATCTGACTGTAATTGTTACATCACTTGAACTTGGTATATAAGAAACTAACTAGTTCTGTATGTTGTCCATTGGGGAATGGCAGCTTGTTCAGTTCCTCTTGAAGCAAGCGGGTGTCGATAAGCGTACTGGGGATCTTTATGGAAATCGTGATTTTTTGAATATTGCTCGAAATATGGCTCGTGGCTTGAAGGTTTGTCTTGAAAACTTGTACTTTCTGCTTGGATTTTACTTCAGTGTGCTTATAGATCATTTCCCACTATTGTTGTAGGGGGTTGAGAATGTCTACACCCAACACCAACCTCTTCTGTTTCACACTATGGAGAGCATAACTAAGGGACGGTTGCGAGATGTAGACTACCCATTTGTTGGAAATCACTTTCAGCAGGGCAGGTTTGGTGCTTTATAAATTCACAACATGAATGCTTAAGTTCATCTCTTTATTGTATTTTTGGAACCATTGTGATTTATTTATAATCTATCATGTCACATAATTGCCTCCAGTGGTCGTCTGCAAAGTCACACTTGCTTTGGTGTCCTTTGTTGTTAACTTATAGAAACTTGACATTGAAAATGTAATATCTGGCTGTACAGAGGTTTTACTTTTGTTGACAGTAGGTAGAGGTTTAGAAATTTGACATGGAAAATGTAATATCCAGTTGACAAAACATCTAGGGTTAAAAATGTTGATTCAGGCATTAAATCCGTTTAGGAGATTAACAGTTCCATACAGAAAAAGACTTTAGGTTCTTCCCAGATTGCTTCTTGCAGGCTTGCTCATGTCTATGCCCATTTGGTGATGGACCTACAATTATGATTAGTTGCTCTCTTTTTCCCACTCACACTCCCTCTAGATGCTTTCATTTTTAGTATAACTCCTATCTGTATTTACCAATTTAATTTTTCTTGATTTCATCATTTATTGGAAGATATTTGAACAAAGTCAGAACATTATTTGGGCTGAAGTCTTTTTGATATTTTTAGTTATTTTCTAATGATATTTTCAAGGAATAAGTTATGCCTTTTTTATGTGGAAAAGCTTATACTGACTACTAAGTTATAATAAGGATTAAACATTTCCTTGATTTGCATTTCATCTAAGCAGGCCACAAGATGTGATTATTTTCGTTGTTGGTGGGACAACATATGAGGAGTCACGTTCCGTTTCTCTACAGAATGCCAGCAATTCTGGAATTCGTTTTATACTTGGTGGTTCTGCAATTCTCAATTCTAAGAGGTATGCTGTGGTTATGATAGCGGGGAGCTAAAGTTAAGATTGTATGTAAAGTACAACTAACATACATGAATCCATGCCTAAGCAGATTGGTTGGTCAATTCCAAATGGCTAGGATAATAGTTTTCTTTAAATGAGTTCAAACTATAAAGTTTTACTTTCTCATGTAAGTTTATCAATATCCCGGCTGCATGTATTGATGCTCCCAAATATGTGGGTTACTATTTTTCAGAAGAACTAGCATCTTTTCAGAATTGAATTATTTATTAACAGTGTAGACAATAGGTCTTGTGGTCATATTTGTAAGTTGTCACCGTCGATATTATCCAAATGTGGAATCCTACATGCATATATATATATATGGGAAGGGGAGAGTGTACATGAAATCGGTCTGCTGGTTTATTAATTTGTCTCAAATGTGCAGGTTTTTAAAGGACCTGGAAGAAGCTCAGAGGACAGCTAAATACAGCACAAATGTTGTTTGAAGTTAATTCCCCGTGTTGCATTTTGAGAGCCATGTAGATAATTTACGGCTTTATTTGAGGAATTGGACATGTTGGCTTTGTAGTAAACTTTGATAGAAAATTCTGGCAGAAGCTTGGAGAGGGGAATCATGAAAATCAACCCAACCCGATTACAAGAGTCTGTCATCTTCTCCAATTTGGACAGGATTGAAAAACAAATCGGAGTTCTTTGAGGTAAAATCCATCAATTCTTATTGGAGGATGATATGTGATGTTTGTATTCTCCCTCTTAACCCGTATAGAATCTCAATTTATACCGAGTTTTGGCTCCAAGTTCAATATACATAGTCATTTTTGACCCTGGAGAAAGAAAGAATTGTAATTTTGCATACAGAAATGAACTTTTTTTTTTTTTTTTTTTTCCTTTCTTTCTTTTATATACTTTACTGATGTATCCACCTTGTAGTTGTACAATCATGATTTTGTGAAAAGTAACGGCCATGATCTATAAGCATAGTTGTTTTTTTTCTGTCCTTGTGACCATTAATTAAAGAATGTCATTTCAAGTGAATGTGGCTGGTGGCATAATTTTGGGAGCTTTAACATAGAATGTAAGCAGAGGTGTAGTTTTGAAAATGGATTTTAAAAAAATAAAATAAAATAAACTATATTGGACCCACCTTATAAATATTTAATGAGAGAATTTATTTGTATCCCTTCTTAAATGTCAGCCTCTGAAAATCAAAGGATTGAACGTGCAATTGTGGTAATACTGAATCCATATGCCTATTAAACAGTTAAATAGATAATGTACATAGTAAATTCTACAGCATACTTGACCAAAACAAAATGTGTCCATTTCTAAAATTTTAAAATGTCATTAACACTTTCCCTACAAGCAGTTAACATTGGATGCTCTGTTAGGGTTAGAAATATGATGATGTAAGTTGCAGAAAGATGGGTGTATAATGAATATTATGGCAGGGAAATCGAGGAGACTTAACCAATTACGGTGGCGTACTGAAAATGTATAAGCTGGAGTGCCTAAAAGTAGCCAAGCAAAAAATCAGTTTTAGCCGGTTATAGCTTTGGTAGCGGGGCCTCTAAACTTCCATCAAATGATTAACACCTAAAGCGGCGGTAATAAGCAGAGATAACTGCAGATTTTGACAAGCCACCCATTACATTACATTAATGGAAACTTCAATGTTTCCAGTTTTCCATTCTCTCTCTGCCTCCAAAAACAAAACAAAACTTTGGCAAATTGCAGTAAGTTTGTGTAGATGAGTTGGGAGTGTAAATGAGTCAGTAATAAGTAAAGTTGTACTCTGTCTAATCTCTGAGATGAGGATTCGCCGTGAGGAGTGTGCACAAGTACCTTGGATAATCCAAGAGATCTCATCATCACGCTTATCAAATCTCATTCAAGTATTGCTCAACTTCAACTCTCCCTTTTCTCAAAAGGGTGGGTTGTTGCAGAAATATCTCCGCTGGAGTGCCATTACCAAGATTTATTATTTACTAACTCTACTCAGTGACTCCCTATTTTCGACACGAAACCCTTTTCCCCTTTTTGCTCTTTTTGTTCACTGCCCCATCTTTCCTAATCCATCCATCCATCTATCTATCGTTTCTCACACCGCATACCTGCATGCATGGATGGGAATAGATGAATATACATACTATTCTCCTTAGAATCAGTTCAAAATTTAAATAATCTATTTCTATTAAAAAAACATGTGATAATTTATTTTGTGATGAAAAATGTAAGAGTAGAAAAACAACAAAGACTGAACTGAAATGAGACATAAATTTGAGACTAAAAGAAATCAGTACTTTTTATTAAGAATTTGCTTAATTTAGTACATCTTAAAAAGGTTAAAGTTGTTCGAATCACTTTGTATATATCTTAATTAATTCTTAAAGACTATATGCTTAAGAGATTCAAATTCAAAAACTCATAAAACCTCATTTTCTTTTATACCATCAAGGTTTCAACATCTTTTATTGCTCTTTTTGGAGCAAACCAGAGTTTCAGGTAATTAAAAATTATACTTGGACTTATTCAATGGTTTTCTCAATCTTTGGATAAGGAAGATTTAATTTAAGTCGATAAATGTACGAATTTAATTGAATACATATAAGAGGAGTACGGTACTGTAACATTCACTTATACAATGAAGTTTTAAATTCAATCCAACAACCAAATGCCAAGTTTCAAAATATATACAATGACTTGTACATTGGTACCTTTCACAAACTTTCTTCAAACTAGTAAAATATTTTTGAACAGTACCTCAATGGGAGGCATTGACATAATAACATGCATTTGTCTTTTCTGCTTCCCTGTGATTTGCTCAGTTGACTCAAAATAATTTTTTTTATCAAGATACCAACCTTTTATATGATATTTTCGATTTTCATTAATTTTTTTCCATACATATCAACTTCGAATGCCCATTGGATTTAACTCCTGGTATAAAATATTATCCCGATAATTCAATAGCGTTAAGAAAACAAAACAATGACATTTAACCTTAACTATGGGAGAGAGCCTATTGTATATTAATATTACAAGTGCCTTAATCATTCTCCAGGTTTTTATTCTTTGATCTTATCAAATATGATTTCATCACATTATCTTTAATCACTATACATTAAGAAATTATCTAACTCTACTTTACTTCTTTCATACTTATTCTTTCATACTTATTATTATTATTTTTGACAGATATCAGAATCGATTAGGCTACAAACATCTCAACCAATTTCCTAACATAGATAAATTGACAACCGAAATAAATCTCTTAACCACCCTTATTAGAAATTCAAATAAATCAAACTCAAAACCTCTTAATAATACATTCGAGAGCCTTTAAGTAACCCAAAATCCTAATTAACGGATAACTTCTTTCATGCTTCAACAAACCCAACAGGACAAAAATGAAAAATGAAAGACATACAAAATTTGTTCTATTATATGATAATATAAAAGATGGGAAATCACATTAAAGATTCGAAACTTGAAGGTCTTCCTCTAAAAAACAAAACTGACCCAGAACAAAAATAGTTTGGGTCGTTAAGGACAAAATATACACTACCCATTTCACAAAAAAAGGCCAAAACCATCACAGAAATCTTTTATATATATTTTATCTCTATGCATTGCCTTGATCATCATCATCATCAATTAATTAAGCTTGGTGATGATGATTAATTCCCCAATGCTAAGTATGACATCAAAGGACAACACGTATTACTGGAATTATTGCCTTTTTCTTCACTCTGATTTGATGAAAATGGGATTTTCTTGCAGTTTGTTGAGAGCCATTTTGCCCTCATGTAACTGGCACTTCTCCATGGACCAATGTCGAGACCCTTTTCCTTGAGTGATTCCTTCCCAGCTCTGCATATTAATGATATTATCTCCTTCAGCTTCTCCTCGGTGCCCACAAAGATGGCAGGAAGAATGCTGATGAGATCGTTGTAAGTTTTTGTAGGCCTCGCCACTTCAAACTGAGACCTGAAATCTATGTCCACTATCAGCCTTGTTGGTATGCCGCCATTTATATTGCTCTTATTCACCATAACTTCAATATACTCATAACTATCTGTAAATTGGAAAACTTAAACACAAAAAGAGGAGGTTAAAGAAAATGAATATTGAAATATATTGTATTCTTATTTTCTAACTGAAAATTTATATAAGCAAACCTTTGGAAAAACTACAAGAAGAATCCCAAGTTGTCTTGCAAAGAGAAGCTTCAAAACCATCAGCTTTCAAGCTCATGGCCGCCCATTTTCTTTGATTTTTTACTTCTACAAAACACCCCAAGTTCTTAACGTACCTGGAAACTTTCTGATGAATCTCAGCTTCAACATCCGAGATTTTTCCAAGGACACCCTATATTATTAATATAAGCCAACCAGACAAAAAGTTTACAGAAAAATCAGACTCTAAAAATATCGAAAACACAAATATTAACCAAAGAAAAGAAAGAAAAAGAGGGACCTGTAAAGTGAGATATTTGGATTGATGAAAAGGTTCTGAAGAAGGGAAAGAGAAGGAAGAAGGTGAGTCGGGAGGTTCAAAGTAGTCTCTGACCATCTGATCAAGATCTTCTTCTCCCAAGCAACCCATTTTTTTATTTTTTTCTGATGACGAGAATGGCGAGTTTGAACAAGTCCTCTAGTGAATCTTGCAATAAGTTCCTTGTATTTATAGTCCTATCAGTGTAGTTTGCTTGTATCCATGAGATGATGCCATTATGTCATCCAACTCAAGTTCATATTTAATTTCTTCATTTATTAGAAATGGATATGAATTTTATATTTAAATTTCTAAATCAAATGGGATGTATATGTATATATGTTTGTTTGTTCTCTTTAAAGTGTTGGATTAAAATAGTGATTAATTGTTTTAATCTAAAATAGACTTCATTTTCATGACCATTTCTCAGAGAATTCCTACATATAGTTTAATCAATTAAGACCTGGGAGTGCCACATCAATTGTTACAATTGCCACGCACATCTGATCAGGATAATAATCTTCAAAATTTTCCAATTAGGTTTAGTAACCTTCTCGGTAGTTAATGCTATATAATTAATTCTAATTATTATCATAAAATAAGGACAATGTAGATAGGAAATTTGGCCACCAATTAAGAAGGGTTGCTTCACAAAAGTGGGATATACACACAACCATAAATCCATTCATGAGCTCCATTTTTATAGATTATCTCTAGTTACACACAAGAGGTTTCGAGTAGATTTTACAATATTTAAGAGAAGATTTTAAATTTTGTTTTATAGAGGATTTATGAAGATTTTCAAGGATACTTTTGATTTTTTTTTTTTTCTAATTTATTTTTGGGTGATTTGTTTGTAATTAAACCAAGTACTCTAATGGAGTCGATGAAACTTTTTCTTATTTTTATACTCACAATTTATAGCCTCGCCTCGTTTTGCTATCAACTGATTAGCACTCGCATTATTTTATAACCATACGCAATAGGTATGTGAAGACAAATGGCTATTTTGATTTTATTATATTATAGATCCTCGTCATTATGAGGACCAACAAATAGTTATCAATTTTTGTAAAATTTAAAAATAGTTATTAAGTTCTATCAAATTTGATAATAGAAATCTAAAAAGTAAAACAAAATTAAAAATGGAATTAGAAACAAAAAAAATGAAACCGCAACTCGGAAAAAATTCAAATGGAAATGGAAAAACTTTAAAAATTAGAGAGAAAAAATTAAATGCGATGAGCATGGATCGAACACGCGACTTTCAGATCTTCAGTCTGACGCTTTCCCAACTGAGTTATTCCCGCTGATGAAATTAAAATTACCAGCTTTTTTTTATAACATATAGTAGCAGACCGCACTAAATATTATTCTTTTGGGGAAAATCACCACCATTTTAAAAAGATATTTCAGGACTATCGTTTATCCCTCAAATTATTAATTATTCCCTTAAGATTATATTTACTCCTTGTTATGCCTGAAAAAGTAGGGCTAATGCCAAGCCTTGTCAGCATGGGCGATCAGAGCTTAGGTAGGTTTTGCAGTCGTTCAGACACAACCACGTCGCATGATAAAGTGAGCGACATGCTCTCGCCAGTGCAGTGGGTATGCGCCATAATAGCAAAAGGCTAGAATCGTTCCACGTGTCAAATCTTTGCACAAGTCGAGGAAATCACTTGAGCAGGTGAGCAACAGGATATAAAAAAGGATTTGCACGGCAATCTAACACACTCACAAATTCAGTAATCATTACCTCAATTTATTCCACTATAAATAGAGGACTCATCTCCTGTTTGTGGGATTAGCTAATTTGTCTTTGAAATAGCATACATTCTCTCTCACTCTCTCTCTCTTGTATTCACTTGTATTCTCTAAGTTATAAATCAGCTCGCTGAACGCGACCTGATCTCATATATTAGTACAATACCAGTGGATATAGGATTCGCTTATTTAAGCATCCGAACTACTTTAAACATTGTTCTTCACTCTTTAATAAAATACCCCCCATATACACGTGTGTCTTCTGAGTCAGCTCAGCATTTCCCACGTGCGATTGGTTGGTGTTAAAATCACGCATCAACAGTTTGACGCTAGAAGGAGTGCCTGATTTAGTACTTGTTCTTCATCAGGAGAATCTCTGACTAATCGGTCCCACAAGAGTAAATGGCTCGCCAATTTGAATCTGAGCAAACCAATCATGGTGATGAGCAGATCCCTCAGGTACAAGAGGACACTTCTCCCAAGGTGCCCTTAGTCTTGCAAAATACCATAGGGGATATCCCTTCAAGCTCGTGACTTGACCCAACCGTCATGAGCTATCTGGAGAGGTTCAATAATGCTCTCCAAACGGTCAGCCAAAGGCTGGACCGATTGGATCAAGTCATGCCACCCAAATCAAATGAGGCGGTGCCACCGCCAAAAACGCCTGCAGGTCGTATGAAGATGCGAAAAAGGGCAATAGCCCATGCCGCGCGTACTGCAGCGTGTCGAAGAAAAGGAAAGCAAGTGGCAAACAGCGGGCCTAGAGGCTCCGAGGGATCGGCGAACACCAACCGCACCTCTGATAGAATACCTGTGGCGCAAAGACTCGGTGACATGTCGCGGCTCGAGCTGTCTCGTGCCACGTCGCACGAGCACTCCCACAAAAGTGCAAGGCGGGGAGATTCTCATTATCGCCAAAATGACGACTTCGATTGTCGTCACGCGGGAAGTTCCCATCATCCGCGGGTCGGTTTGCACCACTGCGGGGGTCACGAAGGTTCCTCGGGCCATCCAGCGCCATCACAAGACTCTAGCCAGCTTGTGTCAAGAGTGGCCGGAACTGCCGGCCAAGGCGAGGAGGAATCTGACCTACGATCTTTCCTCAACCACAACCGTGATGGTTAAACCCGCATTGCGGAAAGCGATCCCCAGATGGCTCGTTGCCTCAGATTCAGGAACTACAGCGAGCCCTGGATCAGTTAAAGGCTCAGCGAAATGAGCAAGGGCAGGTCGTAGAGGCGTCTCCCTTTTCTCCGATAGTGTTAGCCGCCCCTCTCCCGTCAAGATTTAGAATGCCCGACATACGAGCATTTGATGGGAATTCCGATCCGCAGGATCACCTATACGAGTTCAACGACCTCATGGAACTCCACCAAGTCTCTGACTTGGCAAAATGTCGTTGCTTGGCAGTAATTCTTACTTCTCATGCCAAGCAATGGTTCAGGTCGCTCCCAGCAAGATCAGTCAGCTCGTGGCCTCAGATGAGCTCAACATTTCTGAGACACTTGCAGGTGAACAGGAAGTTCTCGATGCCTCTAAGCTATATCAGCAACATAAAGCAAGAGAGGGATGAGCCCCTCCAATCCTATATTGACAGGTTCCATCAGGAGCTCCATAAGGTAGCTCACACTCCTGAAGAGTCCGTTCAGACTATTATCATCGCAGGAGTTCGTCCACAGACAGACAAGTGGAAAGAGCTACAATCCGAGGATGATGTTTCCCTCACCCGCTTCTACAGCCTTACAGAGAAATACCTCCGTATTGAGAACTTCGTGGCGACGCTCAACTGCCATAACCCGGCCCTTCAGGCGATGCCCCTGGTCAGGGGGAAAATAGGTGGGCTGATCGTCGATGGGCTAACGATAACCAACGAAAAGGAAAGAAGCAGCGGGTTGAGCCCAAGAAATCTTACGCTTCAGTTTTTCGTCACAATCGCGACAGGAGCTGGTACACTCCTCTGAATGCATCTGTCTTTGCTCTTCTTGATAAGTTAGAAGAGGCCGGCCTGCTTAGGGAGCCTGAGCCTATGAAAGGTCCCCCTTCAACCAGAAACAGTAAAAAGTACTGTCACTATCATCGAGACAATGGGCATCACACTGATGAGTGCCGGGCACTCAAGCAAGCAATTGAAGACCTCATTAAGCAGGGGCACTTCAAAGAGTATGTTAATAGCTCTACTCTCGTGCGGGAGAAAAATCAGGAGGAAACGGGTAAGAGGCGTCGTGCTCGCAAGGGTATCTGCATCGTAGGGATAATCTTTGGGGGACCACACCTCGGAGGGAATTCGCGAGGTGCCTAAGAGAGATATGCTCGCGCAACCCATCACGACCTTATCCGTGTAATGAACACGACGCAGCAACCGTCAAAGGTTCACAAGGAGGAGGAAATTAGGAGTGGGATAATCCGGTTAACCGAACCGGATTATCAAAACTGAAAACCAAATTGGTTTTTCGATTTGGAGAAAATCCAAACCGAAAACTGGACCGGTTTTGATTAAAAACCGAATATAAACCGAACCGATTATTTGGTTCGGTTACTGGTTAACCGGTTTTCAAATTAATCTTTAATCCTTAAAATTCTTTAATGTTTTATTTAAGTCCCTAAATTCAAATATTTATTATTTTATATATAATTTCATACTATGTTTCTCTTTTATTTTGGTATTATTGTTGTATTCTTTGTATGAAAAATACATTAAATTACTTATTTGCAGATACTGAATCCAGAATATGAAATAAAAACATAAAGAATTCAATTACACATTACTCAATAGTCAATACTCATTAATAAACTCAAATACATAACATAAAATTACAAAGTAAAAAAACTTAATATAACATAAATCATCTTCATCCCACAATGTTGGTGTTAGTGGAGTTTCTTGATTCTGCACTCCTCGGATTAGTTAATGGCACACGAAGAAGATCATCATCTGCAATTAACAACTATAATTATTAATAAATAAAAATAATAAAACATATGAAATATTATTATCCCTGTCGTTTAAGAATGCAGTGATATAAATGAAGCATATGTTGTGATAACTTTAAATTCCTATTTTCTCTATCCAGTTTCTCTCTTTTCAACTTGATAAAACCCTCTTCCCGGTAATTCCATTTAACCATCCAAAATGCTTCCACCCAAAGTCCAAAATCATAACACTTATAGCCCCCTTACACTCATCTATTTATCCACATTATCAACATTTGCACTGCAATATCTACTAAGATACCAAACACTTTCTATGCACTCGATCACCAAACATTAAAAAAAAAAAAAAAAAAAGGCTAGTAATCAAGAACAAATCATCCAAATACACTTAACACTCCAGTACTCCACAAACAGAACCAAAAATAAATAAATAAATCACCAACAATTGATT